TATCGCTTTAATATGAACCGGGTTTATGATGACTCCGAAGCAATAATACACATTATTCATACTACAGAGAGTTGATTGTCTGAATATATGCATGAAACCCGATATTCCGGTTCTTGAAGCTGAAAGAAGCCCCAAATGGGTTACAGATTGGGCGATACTGCCCCCTGAGAGGAATTTACATCATAAGAGATTTTGGGCCCTTGGAACCCCATACTCGTTGGCCACTTTACCAATATTTCAGGCCTGATATTTGTGGGTAGTACTTGTAGAACCTGGTCAGGTTCAACTTCACAGATCAAGTCCAGTGACAGTATCTAATTCGTGAAGATAAATGCTAAATTATCTCTTCTTCAACCTACGTCGCCCTCTTGCTCTTCGAATCTTGGTAAGCAATAGGCTTCAGTTTTAAGTAACATACGAATTCTCATGCAGCCCAGACCGACTGTGCGGAAACATGTTGCCACTAGCACCGTCTGTACTTTCTACATCGGCAACCCATCCCTAACTTCAATAGGCATTGGTTGGCTTGTCGCTGCCTCACCGTATACGTCAGCTGAATATACCAGTTTTAAGTAGAAAACTCCCCCTGCATGCAAATTATTGCGCTGGCCCGTAATGTTGCCTGAGGACAGCAAAGCCTGTGTTTGTAATCATGCGTATATATCGAATAGCCTTAGCGTTGACCTTGGGTAAAAGTTTCCGAAGTCCTCCGCGGAACCTTCATTGGCCAAATTGAAGCTTCCTCTCCTTGTTTGCTCTTGCATGTCTATGTGTAACTTTGTCAGATATGGCCGCGCTCATGATGAAGTTGACGGTTCTCTGCGCCCAGTGCAATCAATGATGGACGAGGTAACATGGTGATATGGGAACGATGCTAGACGCGCTTGACTGGAGCTCATAGGCATGTTTCAGAGGCGATAGCTCTGATTATCTGAATCTCTTCAGTAGAAATCTGTCGCAACTAAGGCTGTGGTGACGTTGTCCGGCGGCCCCGACGCTTCGTAGACGAGTTCGGACCCACTTTCTCCGGAGAATGATGTGTAATATGCCACCGGGCGCGTCGGGGCGAAAGGCCCACAAGGACCTTATTTAACGGAGTCATGGCCCGTATAGTCTTGTGCAAGCGTTGAAGCTCGACCGGCGAACGTCTTTTTCTTATACAAGGGGCAGTTGATGATCACGTAGATCAAGGCTCTTTGCAGCTTGTCAGTGTTGGTAGCAAGCTAGCTGTACTTTGGCCAGGTTGTGTTGCCATGTCACGTATGCTGTTTAGTGCTGCAGGCTGCTCGACGGCACTAAGACCGTATAGGGCTCTCATTTTAATTCCATCCCCAACAATATATGCAGCAAGCGTGCTTTTCGTTGTTAGCAATTCCCGTCATTGATGACGAAAGGGTTGAAGCACAAAACTCGCGACACCTTCGGGCAGTTTCCGGCGCCGCTGTTACGTGACCTTAGCCAGATTCATCCCATGGAATGAGGGTCGCCCAGACTAGGAGCAAGCCGGCGGTGTGGGGACCAAACAAAGACGTCATTTTCACGAGCAAATCCAAGGTTGTTCACCGCATCCCAAGACCCCTGATCGTTTACCGCACGTGTGGCAATTGCGGGTAGTGTTCATCGGACCCTCCGGGACGCCTATCGTGGAATACACTATTTCTAGATCAACATTGCAGGCCGGCTTGTTGTCGAAAGGACCGAATAAAGATGGTTGCCGTATAACTGCCGCGAACCGCTGAAGTCGATTTAGGCAGCTCGTCACCCCATCGCCTGTGGTTCTTCATATAGGCATCATAAGTGGCTCCGAAATTGAAAGCGAGATCCATCGTTCTGGGGCCGGACCACATAGCCTTACAGATAGATTGGCTCAACTTCTAACGCAGGATGTGGGCTTGTCGCCAGCCCCGGCTGCCTCAATCGCAATCTGGGACCGGTGTACCTACTTGCTCTGATACCCTCACAGGCGGCTCTCAGCTCTCTGCGACCAGGGTCCGGATCCACCACCAGTCGAAAAAAAACTTGGTTCGTCGGTGCGGGACCGAGGGTGCAGAATTTTCCGGGACCGGCGAATCGGCCACACTCTGGGCTTGGCACTCCCGCCCCCCGTGATTTTTCCCAAGAACACGGGAAACTTTCTCCCGATTTAGTCGAGCATTGCTCAATGAGAGGGCCGATCTGACCTTCATCTCGGAACACACAAGTGGCCGTCTTGGAACGTTTCCAATCCTTCATGTGGTGGAGTTTTATGTTATGAGCCGTAATTTCCCTCTCGTGATATGCACGAGTTTACCCGACATGTGAGGCTACGTCTCCGATGTTGATGCCCACTTCATTGTACCGTAGACTGCTTCGGCCGAGGTATTACGTCTTCTCATTGGCGAACAGGTAAAAGATGGCCCGGTCTTCTCCTCCGCGCCAGGCATCTCTCGCCCGGGCAGCGGGGGCAGCGTGGTAATCTGGGTCAGACAAACTGTCGAGGACATGCAGAGTCAGGGTCCTGCCCCCTTTGGTTAACGGCTTTTTGGCCCAGAATAGATGCGTTGTATGAAGATCTCTTGACTAGTGTATGCCAGTCATGAACACTATGTGTTTATCCATAAAAAGAAATCAGTGGCATTGGCAGAGAGAGAGAAAAACAATGGAGATGGAGAAACCATGTTTTCATCAAGGACAAGAGGGATCGTATTGACAGCGTACCTTAATGTTCATCAAGAAGCTCGACAAGGGAGACTTGTTGGATGAGCAAGTCGCCGGGATACAATCTCGGGAACGATTCCCGTGGCTATGAAGGTCAATTGTGAAATATCTACAAGCAGATGATGGAATTCTGGACGACGCCAACCTGTACGTCACCTTACGAATTCTACACTCATTGGGCAGGGCTTCTGTGCGCCAAGAAGGTCCAACATCGGGCTTCATTATCATCTCCTGCAGCATCGACCAACAGATTGCTGCGGGCCCCGAGTCAGTTCGTTCAGGGTCTGGGGGAGTTGACCAGAGGGTTGCCTGGTACTTCTTCTCCGGTTCTTGCGGCTATGCGGGTGAAAAACGGGCACAAGAACCCAAGGGCCGTCAGTTCTTCCGTGCCCGAGACCAGCGGTCGGGGTTTTGCACTACTTCTCATTGGTCACGATGGTAACCCTGATCCGTCCGCTGTCTTGGCCCGCCTGTTAACGCCCGGCGCGCGCCTTCGGATTTCCTAATAGAGTAAAACCGAGTACAGGAAAAAGTTGTAGCGACGTCATCCCGGACATGCTTGGAGCACGAGGATATATTAGGTAGATCGTACTTGGCATCCCACATTGGCTCCAGTAGTACGTTGCACTCCACAGTTAACCGTAGCGAATGTTGGCTCGTCAGTTAAAGACGAGAACAAGACAAGAATAGAGGATTCACAATACCAAGGGCTAGGCAGCAAACAAGCAATCGACAAGAGATTTGGCCAAGCGTAATCTCCAGTGTATTTATCTAGGCGCCTCTTGTCGTTCTTGGACGTTGTATTAGCACATGGTTAAGCTTTATTGACTGCATATGGCATGTCTTTCGGACAACGTCGACTCGCCAGTCGACGCGGCAAACTCCAGACAAAAACAAAAACCGCATCTTCTGCATGTTAGATGCAGCAGCACATACGGATAATATTCTTACGATAAGCTGGACCTTCTCCGGAGTCAGTAAATAATAACCTTGCAAGAACTATACGTCATGTGGCCCACCGCCGGCGAGACTATGTCACCAACAACGACCGATATTGACAAATCGCAGGCAAGCATTCTCAACATGAAACCTGGTTCTGTCACCGTCGTCCCCACGTTGCGGACCCAACTTAAACTGGGAAAAGAGCTACCTAAAGAGGTAAACAAAACGGTCGGGCGAGAGACTGTGTCAGTAGTCCGTAGCTGCAAGCGCTCTCGGCGGCTACGATGCCACCCAGCCCCTCTTGGCGCTTCTCTGTCTCTTGAGCTCAGCTTCGGGCTCAAGGTTTGCTGCAGGGCTCGCGCAGGCCCCCCTGACTCGCAAAGGGCGCCGCCCAGACGGGGATAAACCAACCGGGTGTATGGATAACGACCAACGGTATCGGTATGCACGAACGGTAACCGCAAGGTGCCCTTTTCGCACCTTTTTCGCTGCACGACTTATCGATTGGTATCAAAAACCTCAAAGGTGACGTCGAGGTCTCCAACTTGTCTCCATCAGAACCCCACCGATAATATGCAGATGGATACAATTGCGGCACCTCTTTGAGCCCTTTTCTCCTCTTTGGCATACCAATGCTGCCTTATCTCACCTCAGCTGCCGTCTTTCGCGTCGGTTTCTCTCCGAATTCTGCCGCGCAAAGGACGGCATCTCCACGAGCCCGCGTCCCAGTCTAGAGCGGTGAGGCTACCGTATTCCAGTGTTCGACAACGACGAACCCCGCAAGACTCTTGCTGGGCGCCGTACTGGCTGGGTGGGCACCTCACCAGTTCCATGACGGCGTCTTCTCCGGGCTGACGACATGTCACCGTCTCTCGTCGCCCATGCCCGTGGATCCGGGTGGATAGCCTTGACCCTCCTCCAGAGGGATCTTGGATGGTACGGGGATTGGGGGAAATCGGGGCAGCCTTTTGGTGATTGGCTATAGGGTTTTCTGGGTTGGGTTTTACCCCAAACGCCAGGGTCTGGGGCTTGCACAAGTACCTAGCCGTGTTACCATGCCATGCCAGTGTACACTAGGCCAAGCATGTAATCCAACGGTATGACTGAGGAGATTGTACAGGGTGAGGAGAAAGGGTTCAGCTTATGGCACTGACGTTGCCGATCTTCATCCGGTGCTGTGTGTTGGGGATTTCATCTATAAGGTCGACGCTCGCCGTCCCAATTCGCATCTGATCTTCCTGTTGTTTCCCCATCCACCTCGACTGTCTCAACTTGCCTCTTCGATCGATTTGCGACCTACACCCTCGGTGTTCTCTGGAACACGATAATCAGATACTACCCGCTGTGAAAGAGTCTCCGAAATGGGCAAGCTTAATTACTTCGGCCTTCGAGGCAAGAGCCTTAATTGGGCCATCAGTATCATCGCAGGATGTGACTTCTTGCTTTTCGGATATGGTAGGTCTCATACACCCAACCCAGCACGGACTTGATCCCGAGACGACAGCTTGGTTGACTCAGCTTTCTCTCCAGACCAGGGTGTCACCGGTGGTATCCTCACCCTCCCTGCCTTCCAGTCTCAGTTCCCTACTATCGATTCTGAGCCTGAAGGCCTCCTCGGAGGGCTTACCAAGAGCCAGCGCTCTACCAACCAAGGTATCGCCGTCGCCTCCTACAACTTGGGCTGCTTTCTCGGCGCCATCATCACCATCTTCATCGGAAACCCTCTCGGTCGCAAGCGTATGATCATCCTCGGTACCGCCATCATGGTTGTTGGTGCTGCTCTCCAGGCTTCCGCTTTCTCCATTGAACACCTCATCATCGGACGTATTATCACTGGCCTCGGAAACGGTGGCAACACATCGACGGTCCCTACCTGGCAGTCCGAGACATGCAGCTCACACAAGCGCGGCAAGCTCGTCATGATTGAGGGTGCCCTCATCAGCGGTGGCATCATGATTTCCTACTGGATTGATCTTGGCATGTCTTTCGCCCCCGGATCTGTCTCCTGGCGTTTCCCTCTGGCCCTGCAGATCCTCTTCTGTGTCTTCATTCTGGCCTTTGTCTGGAACCTGCCCGAGTCTCCTCGCTGGCTCATTCTCAAAGGCCGCGACCAGGAGGCTAAGGAGGTCATTGCCGCCATCGCCGACCTGCCCGAAGATGACGACTACTGCAAGAACGAATACGTCGTCATGAAGAAGACCGTCGAGGAGATGTCCAAGGGCACCTTCAAGGATCTTTTCACCATGGACAAGAACCGCAACTTCCACCGCACCTGCATTGCTTACGTCAACCAGATGTTCCAGCAGATCTGCGGTATCAACCTCATCACCTACTACGCCGCCGTCATCTACTCTGGCCTGGGAATGTCTCGCTTCATGGCCCACTTGCTGGCTGCTCTGAACGGTACCGAGTACTTCATTGCTTCTTGGCCCGCCGTCTTTCTGGTCGAGCGCGTCGGCCGCCGCAAGCTTATGCTTTTCGGCGCTGTCGGTCAGGCCATCACCATGGCCATCCTTGCCGGTGTCAACTCCCAGAGTACTTATGCTTGCCAGATTACTGGAATTGTGTTCCTCTTCGTTTTCAACACATTCTTCGCTATTGGATGGCTTGGTATGACTTGGCTCTACCCCGCCGAGATCGTCCCCCTACGCATCCGCGCCCCCGCCAACGCGCTTTCTACGTCTGCCAACTGGATCTTTAACTTCATGGTAAGTGGCTTCAATATCAGCCCCTCAATCACTCAATGCTAACAAAGACTAGGTCGTCATGATCACTCCCGTCGCCTTCGACTCCATCAAGCATCACACATACACCATCTTCGCCATCATCAACGCCATCATCGTCCCCGTTACCTACTTCTTCTTCCCTGAGACCGCCTACCGCTCCCTGGAGGAGATGGACTCTATCTTCTCCAAGGCCGCTTCCGGTTTCAAGGGTGCCTTCGATGTCGTGAACGTTGCCCGCCACGAGCCCCACCGCTATGGCAGGAACGGCGAGCTTCTCGTCCACTACGACGATAAGGAGACTGGTCACGCCACTACCCGCGAGAACCGCCGCGAGAACAGCACCAGCAGCAGTGAGCACAACGGCATGTGGGCCCGCCAGGACGAGGAGACACAGAAAGTCGAGAAGTCCTGAAAGGTTTAGCTCTACGGTGGTATTCAAGTGGTTCGCCTCCTGGTTGGGGGTTGGGAGATTGACAGGCCACAATGGGTATCAAAGCGACTCATTGCGCCACGAATTATGTCTTCGCCGCACAGGTTCCGGCTTTCTCAAATGGGCACGGAATGACTTCCAGTGCCATTAATTTCTATTCTCTTGTGTGGCCTGCAGGCCTCTAACCCTGTTAAGAGATACCATTAGATTGTCTAGATTTTGAGCATTAGATACCACAACAATGTGTTGAATGATTGCACGACTATCTCCATTGACCCTGTGACTTGATGGCCAGTGAATCGAGCAAGCGAGATAGGAGTATACCTTGACTACCAAGAGGTTCCGACCTCGAACAGGCGCTTGGATTTCCCTGTTTCGGGGGCAGCTCTGAAGGCAATATTGGGATTTAGACCTTTTCCCGCCGTGAATTTACCATATCCCAATCGATGAAACTCTGGCGTCCGTCCGGGCGCGTAAGCCTCACACTAAGGAGCCAAGGAACGTTATCCATCCCGGCGGGCCCTATCAAGGGCGCATAGGTACACAACAATACGCTAAACACAGTTGAATAAACACAGTACAATCATCGTGCCCCGTACTTGACAAGATAATGGACTGATTCCAGATAGAAACACAGTACAATGCAGCCGGTAATGAACACGGATCTATCAGGCTTTACTTGCTACGGCGGACAGTGTGGAGTTTAGCGAACAGGGGAGGATGAAGTCTCAACAAGTAGACCATGACTGGATTAACACACTGTTCATAACACTACCTATGCCCCTTCGAAAAGGAGCCTCATACCTCCATGAAATGTACCCCGCACGTTCCCCAGGAATACCACTGTCTTCCCCTTGGGGTAAGGTTGGGGTCCCCTTGGAGTCAACTTTGTAATGCAACTTGATCCAACAGTCTTACGAAAGGTCGGCTGACATCAAAACGAATGTGCGCCCCGTCTCCGGGTTGCCCCATTCGGATATCCGGGACAGGAATGTGTAGCCGCCAACCCCAGCCTTTCGACCAGCCCAACGGCGCGTCCCTGGACTTGTGTAGCCATAGCTCAACTGGGTAGTATTCCGAAGCCGATTTTCCGCAAATACTTACTTATGCCTCGGACCAAGTGGCAAGGATGATATCTAGCTACATTCCTCGGCCGTCATCCGTTACAGACCCCATGGGGAAAGAAGCACATTAACCAAACAGGGCTACGCGACGATTAATACGTTACAATGAACGTAGCCTATGAGCGAGGTACGTATCAGTACCGTTATCATGACTAGTTAGCCGCTTCGCCGGGGTCGTATATCAGATGGACTAGCATAGCTTCTCGTGATGTTAACATTGGCCCGTTCTGAGGATGGAGGGCTCGTCAGAGTTTCGTTCCGCTCTCTGCGGGTTCGGGTTCTCAAATGACTCACACGACGCGGTTCTGGAAGCTAGCAAAACATTCATGTTTTCTAGTTGCGGAAATAGGTTTAACAAGTTAAGTAGGATGATTCATGAATTAATGGCGGTCGCAAATTACTCAGATCGTGATATGAAGATTATCAGAGGTCTAGATCAGACATTAATCTACCACGCTATGTTTATCTTTTGGAGAATGATTCTGTGAACCATGCATACTGCGTCTTGTTGGCAGATGAATACTCATCTTCTCGATCAACATGTGGTCAGCAATCTTAGAGCATTAGATAAGGGGCCATTGAGACCACAACCCAGAGCTCGCAGCAACACGTTAGCTCAGTACTCAACCATACACGAGTTAAAATTTCTGCGGAGGCATGTCAAAATTTGTCACGTCTCCAGATTCTCTATAGGCTCCCTGAGCTGGATTTGAAAATGCAACTCAAAATCATCCTAGCCCATCTACGCTGGCAAAGTTACTGAAGAGCGAGTTTGCTCATCCACGACGTCGCGGAAAATCCGATCCTTCTTTGCAACGTCGTCAAGTCCGGTGCGGTCACCAAACACCTCGTCCATCTGCTCGAGCGTTTTCCCGTTGGTCTCGGGTACGCAGAACCAGGTCCAGATTCCGGAAAGCAAACAAAAAGCGGCGAAAAACACGTAAGCTCCAAACCCTGTCCCTTGGACCATTGGAGGAGTTATGAGACCGATGATGAAGTTGTTGATCCAGTCTGTCTAAAGTCAGCGCATGCTCACCTCAAAGAATTTTGGTCGAGGCAACCTACTAGAGCACGTAGAAATAGCGACGCCCTTGGCTCTCAGGGAGGAAGGGAAGACCTCAGACGGCATAGCCCAAGGAACCGGGCCCCATGTAGCTCCAAACACGAGCATATACAGCAGCAAGAAGGCAACACTGACCCAGCCCTGGGTAGTGTGGCTTGGCCAGTCATTCGAATAGAGGCCAACGAGTATGGCGATGGCAGTGTGAGAAATCGTCATTCCCAAGCTCCCCACGAGCAGAATCCACCGGCGTCCGAAACGGTCCATGGTCCACAGGCTGGGGATGACACCCACCAATTGAACACAGTTCAGAACACCAGACATGATGAGCTGCATGTTGTGGTCGAGGCCCATAGTCTCAAACAAGGTGGGAGAATAGTATATCAACGCATTGATTCCAACGAATTGTTGGAAGAACATCAGGAAAATTCCAACTTGCGTGCGCTTGAAGCATCCCTTTTTGAAGCAGTCGGTCCAAGACACTGCTTCGAGCTTCAAGGTACTTACTACGTCTCCTTTGCTGACCAGAGTGGGGTGACGATCAGCTAGAACTGCGGTCTGAAACCGGGCCTCGGCAATAATGTCCATCCATTCACGACGAACCCGCGGGTCGGTGTCTGGGAGGACGCGAAGCTTGCACAGGCTATTTAGGGCCTCAGTTTCACGCCCCTTGGACGCCAACCACCTGGGGGAGTAAGGGAGGAACACGGCGCCAAAACCGAGGAGAAGACCGGGGAGGATCTGGATGAGGAATGGCAGCTGCCACGCCCAGTGGCTTGGGATTTCCTTTGTACCGAAAGTAATCCAGAAGGAAATGACTATCCCGAAGACAATGGACAGCTGCTCGAATACGAGAAGAGATCCGCGGATCTCCGGAGGCGATATTTCAGAGATGTATAAGGGGACCACCATGGAAAGCCTAGGAATGTTAGCATTTGAGAGGGCCAGGCAGATATCAGGTGAAGAACTTACATGCCGATACCCAGGCCTCCGATAAAGCGACCACCCACTAACATGTTGTAGTTGACAGCCGAAGTCTGGATCGATGAGCCGATGGTGAAAACAACAACGGCAACCATGATGGATCGCTTCCGGGAAATCATGTCGGCGATCCACCCCTGATTCATGGCACCGACAAAGGCACCCAATGTGATCATCGCCGTCATGAGGCCCTTTTTGAAGCCGGATCCAGCAGCGTGATCCGAGACTTCCGGGAACCGTTCGAGAAACTGATCCATGACTAGGGTGACGGAGATGACACCTTGGTCGTAGCCGAAAAGGAGGCCGCCGATGGCGGAGAAGGCTGCACATATCGCGACATAATGGGAGACTAAAATCCCACGAAAACCTGCCATTCGTTTCAGTATGTAGCATCAGCATGGGCAACGACGATTGTAACCCTACCCGAAGGTCCATAGGGCTCCAGGGAGGCATTGGATAGAACCGTCTCTTGCTGCTCTGTTGAGACGCCAGGATAGTTGGACGAGGCTTTCTCCGCCATGGAGGAAGCTGGTGATCGGTGGCCCATCCTGCCAAGTTTCTATTGCAGTTAGCTTGAGGGGCTACAAACACAGAGCTCTGGGATCGAGATAAGTACGTGTTGATATGAAACAACTACGTGACTAAGCTGAAGACGCAGAGAGAGTGGCTTGGGATGAACTCACTTGGATTTACACGATCGCAGGTGCCAACGGATGAATAGTTTGCAGGATTTCCAAGTCATCCAGTCCGATGAAACGGAGAAACAATCTCGGGGTATTATCACTGTGGAGAGAAAAATGGGATTGGATCGCACCCGCCCGAGTCGTAGAAATCGTCAATCAAATTCAATCATGACATGCAACGAAGTCTTTATAGGCAGGTTGCCGCCGTAGGAGTTGTCTTATAGCCAGGCCGCTCCGACTATACCATCAACATTCACAGCATTCCCCGTGGGGTCCACCATAGCAATACGGGTTGGATTCCAGGATATTGGGACAGAATGGGGAAACCAGGGGCACCCCTTTGACTACCACCACGTGATATGATACAGTTATACTGATTTGATATGTTGGAAAAGCAGATTGAACCATGATTATGCACACCCCGCTTGGGGAGCCTGGCAGTTGGAGTTTGAGCCCCGATGACGGCACCTGGCGTACGATGCCTGCCGTCTTGGAAAACGGCCGATAATCGAACACCCGGGTGGGACTACATGGATGTTTCGAAATAAAAACGCTCTGCGATAGGTTGGACCGGGTCTTCTACTCATCTCTAGGCCTATGGAGCGCATGGGGGACGTGGTCGTTTGTGAGATTCTCGCAATCTCTTGCCCATGGGGATAAATGGGGCTCCTATGGAGTCGTCTCTCTCGCAGCTAATTAAGCGCGTCTAGCGTCGTTGAGGCTCCTTGCCTCCGTAGGCATTGGTGGGTTTGGCAGGGCATGATGGCGGGTCAGAGGGGCTTCAACGCGCATGAACACCTGCCGTCATAGCTCGAGGAGCCCGAAACACAAGTTTTCTTGTTGATGAGGTCATTCGGTCCAGGGGAGCCTGGACAGAGCTTGTGGGGGGGGATCTGAAACCTGAGTCTTTCTGCCTCATTCACGGCTCAGAGGAACTCGCCCCGATGCCTCCATGCCCTATTCTAACTAACTAGGAAATGATGAATCCTACTGAAGGTGACATGGCTATACCTAAATAAATACTACGCAGAATGGATGAAGGGGTGAAAGAAAAGCAAGCTGACAATCAGGCTCGAAGAGGTGGAAAGTCGGCCATGTCGACGACATATGTGGTAACTTGGCCCTGGCTTTGTTCCCCAGGTTTGCCCACTTCCCCGTATTCTGTCTTCAATCATAATCATTCCCGGATCTTGTTTGGTATTATCTTGAGTTGTGGGAATGATTCAACTACTTGTTCTGGGGGTTCTGGGGTTAGCGATGTGGGCACGTTGTGGGATGTGTGGATCTTGCATCCCTGACGTGGCCCAAGTCAACCAACATATGTGCAACTCCAGTCATGATGTAAGACTTTCAAAAAGCATGCAGGGCTACAGGCAAGAAATTTGGTCAAGCCCTCGTAGCCTGGTCTAAGAATTCCACTGAGTAAGCCACGGCTATCGGAAATGTCTTTTTTTCGTCAGTCGTTCCATCGTTCCCAGGCACATAGTCGTCTAGAGGGTTCCCCCACCTCCCCGAAAAGAATCCATGCCCGGTTTGAATCGTGACAGCCACGCAAAGCGGCTAATGAAATGAACGACTGCCAACTGCATTGCCCAGACCCTTTATTACCCCATACCCCAGACTAGACGACCGGGCCAATACTGGGTGATGCGGAGTAGCCAGGTACCTGGACTTAACTGCTATGTAATGGGCTAGCAGCTACTCCAAATTCAACAGGTTCTCTCGGACCCGAGCCGGGCTGCCCGGCCTTCGGATGTGAAGGTCGGGGCAACTTGCGCCGTTGGGCCATTGACCAATCCAGAGCCTGTCCAAATCTTCCACTTGCCTCTTCTACACTTTTTGGGAGCAAAAGCAAAGAACCATGTTTTACGCTACCGCTAGTCTTAAGTTTAACGACCTTAATAATGCCGTAAGCATAGTCAAGTTCTATAATAGATAAATTACACACCAGTATGCGTCGCTTGTAATAGCTGCGGGCCAGGGGGATTCTACCAAGATTGTCAGGACAATAGCAAGTTATTAGTAAATATCCTGCCGGCAGAGAATCAGGCAAGAATCTACGAGCCGGTGGGTATTCTCTAAGAGCTGCCGCTAACATAATCAGCCCGGTTCAAGGTTACTTTCAAGACAGATGCTATCGAGTTCACGTATATTCTTTTGAAATGTAAGTCTGTGCAGGTCCAGTTGGCGTCTGCGAATTCGGCCATCAAGCTTGGTGCTGCACTACCAGAATCTATGATAAAGGGCATCAGCGTACGGTTTGACGAGCACCGAAACCTTACAAAGAGGGCATAGCTATAGTCAGTGAAGAGCTCATCTCATTGGAAGAACATTGGTCTATCACAAGAATCCTCGGATAGACTGGATCTTCTTGTCTGGAATAGGTCTACATGTCTCTCTGCCTTTCCAGCACTGCTCGGTTCATTATGAACAACCCCTGACCATATCCCAATGCTTTCCGTCTCACAATAATTTAGTCACCATGTAAGCCCATCATACCGCCGAAGAAGATAATCAGCCAGTCCTGCTCATACAAACCCAGACTTAGAGGGTTGATTCTTGGTCGGTGAGAAGTGGCATCACACAAGACATGCCGTTTCTCATGTGTGTTGCGCTTTGACGAGACAACTGCACCCAAATTCCCATCAGGGGTGCCGTGTTGTACCACACGACCTATGTTAACAGAAACTTTCGCTTCAATGACGCCGTATGAATGAGTAGTCTCGTGTACAATTTGAATGAGTTCAAGAAGGGTTGCATTCGATACGAGGCCCGTCAAGGAGGACTCTATCCGATGCAGATAGTTGACCGTCTGTTGCCTACCCGTCAGTATACCGCAAAAGAGGATGATTAAAACTTCCGGGGTAGTGGAGAAAAGGAGCTTCACAGACCACCAAAAACAAAATGGCTTGGATGACTCACTATGAGGCTCAACAACAAGTCTGCCCTTCTTGACCTCATGTGCTGTAACATGGTCAAGTTGAGATGCCTTCTTCACGCCCGATTCGCGAGACGAAGAGCCGCGAGTTTGCTTGTTTAGTGAGTAGCACTGTGGGGTAGCATTATTCTGCGTATACCTGGGATTGGTTCCGGTGCTCGTGAACGTAGTTTGTTCGGTCTGGGTGGCACCAAAGAACTGGAAGTCGCGCGGAACGCTGGAGCCGCTGAAAGCATATGTGTGACTGGTCCGCTCTAGATTGGGAGCAGCAGGTTCCTTCTTCTGGGAGATGCTGGATCTTTTCAACGCAAATGGATTTCGTATTCGCTCGACCACTCGCGAGGCTACAGGTCTTTGCTCAATAGTGCGTCCGGAGATTCTTGAGGGCGTCGAGGTACCCGCCTGTGGAGTGACCGGTGTTGATAATCCTGAAGCTCGCAACTTTTGCGTACGAGAGACAGATGTTGTAGCGCCTTCGCTGCAGGATTCCCAGTGTATCGATTTATCCGAGTCGGACATACTGTCGCCGGTAGATGGCACGTTTGCACCCTCCTGGAATGGCTTGAGTGCGCCAGAAGAGGCTTGTATATCAGTCTGCGTCGCTACATCTGCTCCGTTCATTAGTAGTTACAACACGGAGTTGCAAGTCTCGTTGCTGGATACCTACCATTACAAGAGACCGCTGTGGGACTAGACTTGGACTGACCCGCATCACCGTCGTCTCGTAAATTGCTCGGATCATTGGAATCTCCAGCGCCTTTCTCCAGAACATCCATCCGCGCAATTGCGGTAGAGAGTGTCTCAAAGCAAAAGGTCTGATTTGTCCTCACAAGACTTGTGAACTCTTGCTGCGAGAAGAGCATACCGATGTGAGGGCTTATGGCGTTTTGAAGCTCTTGACGCATGATTGCCCACGTATCAGCTTCCTCGCTCACGATGACATCGGTCGCGATTATGAAATCTTCGATAAGATCGATTCGGCTTGTCAGAATGTCGCGGAGAAGATTGCCGATCCGAGGAGCGATGAGCTGCTGGAGTGATGATACTGCAAGGGTGACCGATACATCGTAAATCGCAAGAAGCTCTATAACCTCTGTCTTCCTGTCGAAAACGCCATCTTTACGATATCAGCAGAGAGGTTCAACGTGTCAGAAACCATACACGAGCTTACCCCCAACGTAGATGTACTTCAGGGCGACTTCGAGAGCTGAGGCTGTAAAGGCATGCTCCTTCAACGCGATTTTTCGGATATCGTTCTGCTGTAGTGACTCTCTATGGTCAGCTCTGCCATCATTCGTGCATAGGAAAAAATGGAAGCAGGTACTTACCACAATGGTGAGGTCGAGAATGTGGTCAATGAGACCGCTCTTGCCGCGAATGATGTGTTCATGGAGTTGCCACTTGTTGGTACCCATCGTGAGAAGGATGTCTGCGCCCTTCTTGGTCTCCCAGAGGCTATGAGGCGGTCAGCCTACCGATCAACTATTCAACTGCTCATTATGCTCACGAGAGGACGTCAGACTCGTCCATGGTCTCTTGGCCTGGCTATGCCTGAAGTGTAGCGGAACGACGGTGTCCAGGATGAAAGAAAGTGAATGGAATTGAATTAAATTGGTATTGTGAAGGTGCGATTGGAAGAGGGAAAGCGGTTGATTCGATATGTGCAATGTGAGTGTGTGAAGAGCAGCACAAGAAATCGCGGGCGGAGGAAGAAAGCAAGGAAGGGGCGGGTGCTCCCTTCCTGCCGGCGACCCTTGGTGCAACAACATCTCGAGGGAAGTCGCGCACATCCATAGGTAATTAGTCAACACTTTTATTTAAAATACTAGGGGGAAAAAGGCCGATAATGTCTCAGTTTTGCAATATCAAAAGATTCGAGTACGTATCTCGGTTTCCATGGCATTACGCCCTCCTCTTACCCATGCGATCCGTTTAACCGCGGATGCTGTTCAACTAGAAAGACTAGATATCACTCGTCCGCATATAAGCTAAAAGGGTAAGTTTGCCACGGATGAGGTCTGTCATTGTGGTTGAACTCTTGAGCGGTATGTGAGAGAGAGGCTCTGTGGGCATCTCCAGCTGAATAACAAGGAACAATATTTGACTTCCTACTACGTCTGCTAACTACCTGTCTTCACTTCCTCTCACTTCAGTCCCGACCCTCCTCTATCAAGTCAACGGCAAGCCCAAGACGATGAGATAAGCGCAGACCGCATACAAGTTCAACTTCTTCAAAGAATATCCATATCAACGGCGTCGAAGACGTCTTCATCATCGAATGAGCCGTCTTCCCCACTCCGTCCCACCTCGCTTCCGTCTATAGTTTCGCTGCCATTCGCTTTCCATTCGCTGCTATCCACTCTGTTCTCACCAGCCTCGTTCTCGATCGCGTCCATGCGCAATATGAACTCCTCTCGCAGACGAATAAGATAGCTCTTCATGGCAGGCTCGTCTAACTCTGAATTACTGACCTGCTTCAGGTGGTCATGTAGATTGAGGATAAGCTTCCGTCGGTTCAATATCTTTCTCGTCTCGGACCCCAGCTTCTTTTTCTCTCTTCGCTGTCGTAACGAGACGGCGACTTGCTCCGCCACCTCGAGAAACCGTTTTGGAAACGGCATGGCTTTCGCAAGCGTGATCCCATACATTGAGTCGTTAGTCTTTCCAGATTCCACTTTATAAAGCATCGTCATCTTTGGCACGTTATCAGCTGTCGTTGAGATCTGCGTAGCGAGGTGAAGGTTCAGCACTCCGGGGTGGTTGGCGAGAACATCGGCTGCTTGTGGTTAGCTTCGAAGCAGGTCACTGGCAACATTTTATAAATTCTTACCAAGCTCTGTGAAATGGGTTGCGAACCAAACGACTGCATGACTTTGAATAAGTGCCTCGGCCATGGCTAGCGCGATGGCAAGTCCATCCCGGGTGCTCGTGGCTCGACCAAGTTCATCGATGATGACAATGCTTCTGTCGGTGACGTTACTGTCGATTGTTAGCACCAAGGCATGATCTTGCACGGGCCAGTATCAACCTGAGAATGAATGCCATCTCTCGCATTTCCAGAGAAAACCTTGACATGTTGAACTCAATCTTGTCGTCCGTAGTCACGCGCGCAAAGATGTTGCGAACAATAGCAAAGCTGGCATATTCGGCAGGCACAAAGCACCCAATTTGTGCCATTATCTGCAGCAAAGCGATGCTCCTGATGTACGTGGTCTTGCCGCTCATGTTGCATCCGGTGACGACGTGGAAGCGATACTCATCGGTGGCGTAATAGTCATTAGGAACAAAATGGTCTCTCAAGCTCTGCTCTATAGTCAGCCTTCTATGGACGAAATTGACGGATCACTGAAGTTCCGAACCTTATCCAGGATTGGGTGTCTGGCCGCCTTCATTGCTAGAGTGTCCGATATCTCGGGTCTCCTCCAGTCGTTAGTGGAGCTTGATTGCGCGAACGATGCGAGCATGTCGAGTAGAGCGATGCTGTCACAGACGCGGTAAAGTGGCTGCAGCTGGGTTCGGATACTGTCTATAAGATCTTGGATCACTTTGTCGCTTAACATGACAACTTCAGCGACGGAATCAGCAATTCTCTGATTGAGCTTCTTGAGTCGGACGGTCAGACATTCAATGTAAGGTCCCTTTCGAGTCTGGTTGACCAGGACGGGCGGGATCGGGCGTTCCTCGAAGTCAACCGCTCGTAGCCTAACCCAATACTTGCGGCCTGTGTCATACCGGAGGTCGGCTTCAATGTTGTATTCATCTGCAGAGTGATGAGCATCAGTACGGGACAGAAAATAACAAGCATGGGAACGGCAGGTTAGAGTCGATTCCAATCCAAGCCCGGACACTTACTATTCAGCTCCTCAACATGAATGTGTACATCGTTGGTGTTTTCTTTGTATGCTTGTCGGGCGACATCGAGAAGACCATTGACTCCGGACTGATAGCAGGTCAGTGCAATCACCGTAGAAAGGAGATGATCGTGCCTACCTTTACTGCAAAGGTTCTCTGGTTTCGGAGGTCTAGGGCCGACTTTACGTATGTGACGTCTTCGATGATGCTCTTATAGATGAGGTTTCTGACAGTTTCTGTAAGTTCAGGCTGACAAAGGTCTCGTATCTTGATCAGGAGGGGGCTTGTAGCAGGCCTCAGTGCTTGGTAGATTGTAGGAACGGCGTCTAGAAACGTTTTAACCATCAGGATATGATTCATTGCCCTCTCGGATGCTTCCACCGATGGCTTGTTTGGTATAATGACGAGCTGGGATTGTTAACTGGCCGATTAAAAAGGGGGGCCTCAGTGTTCCCCACCTGTGTTAATACACGTTCGATGTCGAGGACAGATTTTAGCGCTTGAAATAGTTAGCATCGAATGGTATGAGCGAAATGAATATCATTGAACCTTCTCGAATTTCAAGAAACATTTCATGGTTATCAAGGAGCTCCTCCAAAGCATCATAGCGTGGCTCAAGATATGAGTCTTTGAGAGTTGATGGCTGGAGAAGATTGCTCCGAAGCACTCGACTGCCCATTGGCGTTCTAGTCTGCTTGAGGATACCAAAAAGGCTATCCTTGGATTTCGAATCGCGAAGGTTCTGCAGGATTTCAAGGGATATGATGGCGGACACGTCGATCATCATGGTATCCTCAGAGGGCTGATATCGTATGCGCAAAGAATGGGGTATAATGCTCAAAGAGAACTCAAGTTCTACAAATTTGATGGCCTCAATTACGGTTAGAAACTTTCAGCAACTTTAAAAGGGGAGCTTCTTACTGCAGAGAAAGAACAGGTTGCGAAAAAGCTGCCGCCAATCGCTACTTTGACGGCTTCTGCATCCTCTCGGAAGGCGAGGGTCTGGATGTACTCGAGTCCTCCCACTTCCGACCAATGCTTTCGGTCGAAAGGAATAATCCTGGTATCTGGCATGTGTTCCTCGATATGACTGTAGAGCCTAGATTTCGGATTTGGTGGGCAGCATGAACTAACGATCAGGAGATGTGACGGTTCCGTGATCTGAAGTTTATGCAGAGTTCGAACGAAGAACCTGCTATCTGAGATTTGGCTGAGAATGGCCTCGCCAGTGTCGACGTTGAAGAATGCAACACCGACGGCAGGGGTTATTCCACGACCCTCGTTTAGCGCGCACACGACGGTGTGTTTCTCACTATGGGGGAGGAAAGGTGTTTGCGAGGTGCGGGTGGTGTAGGAAGTGCTTGGCCGCGTTATGAGAGATCGGCTTGCTGCCTGACTTTTATCATCATAATCGTAATCAGCGCTTGACGTATAGTTTGTCTTGGAGACAAGTTCTTTCGAGGAGGATGACACCGTCATTCCCGTTGAAGCAGCGTCTCTTCTTAGAGCTGCTGAGAGACCATCTCTCTCAGGGGTAGCTTGCGAGAAGTAGGAAGAAGCCCGCGGATAATGTCCTTGCGTGGGTGGAGATGTTGTAGCAAAAGAGTTCGTATCCGAATCCCAAGACTCCGTCGAGGCTTGCATGTGCTGCGGGTTCATCTTGTCAGTTGGGCTCAGTAGTCAGCATACGGCTCTTTGAAAGGGATGTGCAGTAAAAGAGGTCTCTCAACGGAAGGGAACAAAGCCGGAACCCAACAGAAAAATCGCATACTCTGCTTCTAGAGCGTGGAGCGAGAGAGAATATGTCGTCGGAAAGATGGAACACAACCACGCACTGAATCGACAGTCGCGAATCAGCACTCCTTCCCGACTTACACGGCGAACCGGGGTTATCCCGACTGAGTCTGGAGGTGGAGCCACACCGACAAGCCACAGCATGCACGGACTATGTCTATCCTTACGAGCAAGGAAACACCTCAGCCACAAATGTGATGGCGAAAGGTGGAGTCATCTCGTCATCCCCGTGGCCCCCGACACGTCTGGAAGAGTTTACTACAGGCTATTCCAGCAATCCGCACAGCTCTCCGCCGCCGCATCGCGTCGCGCCGCGACACCACGACTCGAAATCCCCATCTCAAATCCGTCCTCGACTGCTTCGAGGCTGGGAGCGCGAGCCGAAGCCATCGCGACACTGGTTTCCAGTCGCCGCCGCTCGCCGACAACATGTTCGGCATCTTGGGTGCCCGCGACCGCAACGATGGCACTGAGGAATATGCCTCGTTCGACGAGCTGTTCGCCGCACTCAAGTCGCGGATGCAGAAGGACGGCTACAAGGTCGTCAAGTCGCGCACCCATCGCAACAAGGTCGGCGGTACCTACGAGAAGGGCAGCGAGGTCGTCCGATGCGACCTCGTGTGCGACCGAGGTGGACAGCCGTACAAGTGCACCGCGACGCAGCTCAAGACGTCGACGAAGAAGACCAACTGCCCGTGGAAGGCCAAGGCCGTGAATCGCAAGACCCTGGGGAAATGGATCTTGACAATCATATGCAGTGAACATAACCATGAGGCACGAACCCCCGATCCGCCGACCGACGAGGAAGATGCCGATGCAGAGGGAGACGCCGACATTGTCCAGGACGCCCCAGCTGGTATGTTTTCCCTAAGGCCGGCGAGCTGTCGACACATACTGATTTGAACAGTTCCTGAAGTACAGAGTTCTGGCCCGGCGCCAGATCCTACGACAGCTGCCCTACTCGCAGTTGTCGGTGTTACGCCTAACACAATGCGACTTACCGGCGACGTCTTCCACAACTTCAAAACAGAATACCGAAAAATGTCGAAGCCAGAGCGGTTGGGCATACTCGCACAGCTGCAACTACGTATCGCGGCCATTTATGCTGTCGAGAACGAAGACATGCAGAGGCAAGAACGGCAGGCCAGACAGGAGAAGAAGCATCAAGAGATCGAAGAGAACCGACGTAAGTCGCAAAGTGCGCAACAGCAACAACCGCAGCAACAGCCACAGCCACAGCAGCAACCACAGCAGCCGCAGGCACAACAGCAACAACAACAGCAGCAGCAGCAGCAGAAGCAACAACAACAGCAAGCGATGCCCCAGCAACAGCATCAGCTTCAGCATCAACAGGTACAGCAACAACAACATCAGCAACAGCAGCAGCAACAACACCAGCAGCGTCAACAGCACCAACAGCCGCAAGTACAGAATCATAATCATAACCACAACCACAACCACGTCCAGCAACAGCTGAACCAGATGTCCCGGGACGGCATGACGGGGATGCCGAAACACCCATTCGAACAGAACTCCCACGACGAGCACGTGCAGTATCGGGACCGTCAAGCTGAGATGGAGGAAAGGAACCAGAGGACGATGCAGATGCGCGGGCAGCAAATGAGCAACGCATTCCAGCAGAACGCCGTCCAGCAAACGCCCATCCCGGTGCCCCAGTTCGGCATTCAATCCGGCATGCAGTCGGCGCCACCCAATGCAGCAGTGTTCCGCCACTACGCGGGGACGCCGGTCAACAATGCCGTCCCGCAGGGAGGCGCCGGGGGTTCACCGGCCACAGGGTCGAAGCGGCGCGGCCGGCCGAAGAAGACAAACATGGACCAGAGCCTCGACGCCAGTCTCCATATGACGAGGTAGCAGTGGGGGCCTGATGACCGAGAAGAGAGCAAGCAGTAATGCGCCAGAAGTAGGCAGACTCGATATGTAATATGAACCGGGGGAAGGGCGGGGCGGGCTAGGTAGGGACTACTATGTACGACCGGGAGGAATTGGAGGATGGCGTTTATAGGGAGATCAATGCAGCAGCTGTCTGGACATGCTTTCTTTCTTATCTCTGAAAAAGCACACATATATGGAGGAGGAAGAGGATCCTCAAGGATGGCTTGCGCTCGGTAGTTTTTTTCTTTTTTTGTTCTTTTCCCCTCCATCATCTGAACATGGAGGGGAGGCTTTCCTATCTTATCTGTCAGTACCTATGCTCTCACTACCTAACAGAGTCTTCCTATGGCCTCACCCGCACTTGTTAGCGCTGACGTTTTCCCCTATATTCTTCAGGTGGGGAGGGTACATTGAGTACTCCGTACCTACCGTCGCAACCACGGGCAAGTTTTGGCCGATGGTCCGTCCCCTGGTTCACCGCACGGGTGGTCCCCCCCCACACCCCCCGGTCCCTTTTTCACAAAATTTCTGCCCCACCATCCCGCATCGCCGCCTTCTGAAATATTTCCAACAAACCCGCTCGACGAACCGACTGACCGACGGACGAAAGCCAGCATCGCAACATGTCGACGGTGCTACCCCCGCCCTCGAAGCGCCAGAAGCGCGAGACCCTCGCCAAGACCCAGACGCAGCAGGATGTCACCGCCGTCGCGCCCGGACTCGAGGGCTCGTTCAAGGCCCGCTTCGTCGACGGCGACGGACAGCAGCTGGCCGAGGTGATCGAGGTGCCCCTCGCCGACGCCTCGGAGAAGAACCTCACGCTCCTCCTCAACACTCTGCAAGGGAAGGTCAGTAATAATCCCCGCTCATCTATCCACTCCTCCCCCGCGATCAACAGGCCTTTCGTTCGTCCTCGTCGTCGTCGCCGTCTAACACCGAAATGCAGGACAGGGAAGACTTCCTCCCGTATAAGTTCCGAATCCACATCCCCGACTCCGACATCGTCGTCGACCAGTATCCCACCAACCTCCTCGAGCTCCTCCGCAGCCATGGCGTCGCGAACCCGTTCGAGACCACCGTCACCCTCAGCGCCGAGCCCCAGGCCGTGTTCAAGGTGCAGGCCGTCACGCGCATGGCCCACCGCATCCCCGGCCACGGCGAAGCCATCCTCGCCGCCCAGTTCTCCCCCGAGACCAGCAAGCGGCTCGCGACCGGCGGCGGCGACAAGACGGCACGGATATGGGACACGGAGACGGGCACCCCCAAATTCACCCTCGCCGGCCACGCCGGCTGGGTCCTCTGCGTCGCCTGGTCCGCCGACGGCCGCCGCCTCGCCACGGGGAGCATGGACAAGACGGTCCGCCTCTGGAACCCGGACACGGGCGCCGCCGTCGGCCAGCCGCTGGCCGGCCACGCCAAATGGGTCACCAACATCGCCTGGGAACCCTACCACCTCTGGCGCGACGACACGCCGCGCCTCGCCAGCGCCAGCAAGGACGCCACGGTGCGCATCTGGGTGGTCAACACGGGCCGGACGGAGCACGTCCTCTCGGGCCACAAGAGCAGCGTCAGCTGCGTCAAGTGGGGCGGCACCGGCCTCGTCTACACGGGCAGCCACGACAAGACTGTCAAGGTCTGGGACGCCGTCAAGGGCACCCTCGTCCACACCCTCTCGTCCCACGCCCACTGGGTCAACCACCTCGCCCTCTCGACCGAGTTCGCCCTCCGCACCGGCTTCTTTGACCACACCCCGACCCCCGACGGCGAGGACGCCCGCCGCGCCAAGGCCAAGGAGCGCTTCGAGAAGGCCGCCCGGCTCCAGGGCAAGGTCGCCGAGCGCCTCGTCTCGGCCAGCGACGACTTCACCATGTACCTCTGGGACCCCTCGCAGGGCACCAAGCCCGTGGCGCGCATGCTGGGCCACCAGAAGCAGGTCAACCACGTCACCTTCTCGCCCGACGGCACCCTCATCGCCAGCGCCGGCTGGGACAACCACACCAAGATCTGGAGCGCCCGCGACGGCAAGTTCATCAACACGCTGCGCGGCCACGTCGCCCCCGTCTACCAGTGCGCCTTCTCGGCCGACTCGCGCCTGCTCGTCACGGCGTCCAAGGATACCACGCTCAAGGTGTGGTCCATGGCCACGTGCAAGCTGCAGGTCGACCTCCCGGGCCACCAGGACGAGGTGTACGCCGTCGACTGGAGCCCGAGGGATGGCATGCGCGTGGGCAGCGGCGGCAAGGATAAGGCCGTTCGGCTGTGGTGTCACTAGGAGAGGTGCGCCCACGTGTGTGATTGGTTGCGGTGGATGATGGGCTTTTTTTCGGCATCTAGGCAAACGGATACATAAAAGAGAATATATACCCCCTTTTTTCACACTTGGCGAGCAACAATTCCTCCTCCTCCTCCTCCACCCTTTGGTAGCCGGTTGGGTCTGCCATTGCGCCTGAACCATCCAGCAGCCGCAGGGCATGTTTCGACATGGCCATTTCTACTATGCACTCGCGCCACCCTCAACGGGGGGATGCCGCTCGACGCAAGTCTCTCTTCATCTGTTGTCTGCGCCCGTAGCTCGGGGATTGACTATTTGCTTCGTCTGGCCGCTTGAGTTGAGACGGGTGTCTAGCACGCGGACAACCCTACTCCAGCATGGCCCTCATGGAATCTTGCGATACTGCCATATGGTGTGCGTTTCCTGATGACTCTACGCGGCCTGGCCTGTGCGAAACCTGTGCCTGACACCGGGCCCATGAAACGATGCAGTTCTTCTGTGGGGAGAGCTCCGGAGACGCCAGGGGGGGGATCTAGTACAGGGTTGTATCTGTCGTGGAGACTATACCAACGACACCATATCGTCAAGCGGCGGGACTGTCAATCATAAATAAGTACGTCACGACCAGGCCTCGATTGCATACTCAACACCCAGACAATCGACCTCTGCCCAATGGCGGTCGAGGCCTCTCACTATATTTGTTATCGTTTAGTCACTCGCAAACCTTTGACGTGTCTTTAGTCTGGGCGAGAGGACGCGACCAGCCCCGAGATGTATCCGGCCCGGTTCCACCCGTCGATTTCGGCCCCGCTCGCGGGTCAACGGAGTTGCATCGGGCCTCCCCCCCCCCCGCAGCACATTGGACAGGATGTGGCGGAACATTGGCGTTTGCGCCGTGTACCAGGTCCTCTACAGGCCGAGTCAAGCCATGATATCATCCATCTCTCCCCAGCCTTCCAGAAAATCAAGTGTGGATGCGCAGACCAACCGTTTCCTTTTTCTCGCACCAGAGCTCTATGGCGTTGCTTCCTCTTGCCGGATCATTTCGAACCACCACATGCATGCAACGCATGCGGACAGTGTATCGTTACCTGAGAATCTCTGCGCATGGAGCTGATCATCATCCGTGCCTCCTCTCGATCCCCTGCAGAACTCGCCGATCTCAAAAGCGAGAGCAAGGTCACGCGTCCATTGAATTAGAGGGGGTTCGTACTATGGATACTTGGATGTAGAAAAGAACGAATCAAAATGCTCCGAAATGTAGGCCATGCCAAAGAGGCTGAAAGGACGCGCCTCGCCGTGAGTCGAATGTTGCATGTTCTTCTGCAACGTAGCCTTGGCGTTATTCCGTCAAGCCTGACCATCCATCCCATCTGCCCCTTGCCCCCAGGGGCGGCTTTTCCATCCAACACCTCTCCGCATCAAGGAGGGCCGCCTGTGTTAGCGTACAAAACTGGTCTACTGGTGGGATGTGCCATTTCCGCATCAATTCTGACATGACTGTGATGGTAATGTGCTGTAGAAAGTAACGCTAGCGCTTTGGCGGGATGGCAAGGCCGGGCCGCCCCTAGTAAGCCATCACGGCGAGGCCGTTGTCGTTTCAAGCCGAACTTTTGGCCCCTTGGGCCGAATGACCGACAGTCTAACGAAGCTTTGGGACATTCAGGATGTGGATACCGGAGCAAGAGTTTTCGTCAAAAGGGTGGCCTCAGAAAACCCAAGATGAATCTTGTGTCGATCTCAGGCCTAGGAAGAGCGTTCTTAACAAAAATATGCAACAAAAGTTCTGTTAGAAATGATGGATTCCTTTCCGCATCCAAGTAGCTTTGCACATGCAAAACGGCTAGGTCGCAACCAGCGCTGGGGAAAACAAGACTGGGCTTAGTTCGCTGTCGGTGAAGTTCAGGGCTGCGCTTTCGTTGACGACACATCTGCTAGTCCTGACGCGCTTGCGAATCTGAAGATTGGCTGCTTGCCATCCTGTATTTAGCCTACCTATAGAAGCTGTAAGAACTAAGAGAGAGTCCACTGCACCATCGGGAGATTTCGGGCGCGTGCCGTCCATGTGGTCGACTGGAAGCAAATGGTGAAAGCACACAGAGGAATCTGAGGAGTAAAGGTTAGGAGCAGTGCATAGCAGCATCGTAGTGTGCAGCTGGGGTTGCCAGTTGAAGAAGAGGGTGTGTGGCCGGGGCTGGGGTTCGTTCTGCCAGGTGTGTGCGGAGAAGTGGAATAACCAACTGGGTCTGGCTGTGGGGTTTTCCGTCTTGTCCACAGCATCTTCACAGATGCCACGGGGCTGATGTGAAAGTTGTGACTGGAGGGAAGATTCCAGATACGAAGCCAGATCCGTCTTTCGGGATTGATTGGGCATCGACAGTTACCGGATTTACAATGCTGTCAGGGGTATCGGCCATGAATGAGACATTTCCACCGATGGGTGACGATGTTTTGCTATTTCAGTGCCCACAAACAAACACCAAGAGGAACAGTTGGTGAAAATTCACTCAACAACTCAAAGGATCAATGCCGTAGCACTTGCCGACTAGGTATCCGTGTAATCTCGTTCTAGTGAATGCATGCATCGTCGATGCAGTGCTTGAGGGGGGTGGAAATCCAAGGCCGACTACGTGTGACATTCTCATCACCATGGTTGTTCCAGGTGTGGGGTTGGCTTCAACAGACGGGATCAAGAACGGACCCCTCA